AACATGTAAACTCACTGAGCAGGGCCTCAATCCCTCTGTTACTGTCACTATACCCCACTCCTCTAACATGTAAACTCACTGAGCAGGCCCTAAATCCCTCTGTTACTGTGCCACTATACCCCACTCCCTCTAACATGTAAACTCACTGAGCAGGCCCTCAATCCCTCTGTTACTGTGTCACTATACCCCACTCCCTCTAACATGTAAACTCACTGAGCAGGCCCTCAATCCCTCTGTTACTGTGTCACTATACCCCACTCCCTCTAACATGTAAACTAACTGAGCAGGCCCTCAATCCCTCTGTTACTGTGTCACTATACCCCACTCCCTCTATCATTTAAACTCACTGAGCAGGCCCTCAGTCCCTCTGTTCCTGTGTGTCCAACTTGTCTGGTTACAACTACATGTCTGTTCGTCCACCTACTGTAAAGCGCTGCGGTATTTGTTGGTGCTATATAAATAATAACATAATAATAATACTTTTGATCGATGGAATATATAATTTCTTGGGAATTCTTCGAATTCTAGTTTGTAGCCGTCTTTAATTATACTCAGGACCCATTTGATAGATGTCGCCCATACTGGAAAGATCTTTTTCAGATGGCCTCCCACTATTCCAGTCTGAGCGTCCTGACCTTCATAAAGACTTTGGCGGGTTTCACTTCCTCTGGAGCCTCTACTGGAAGATGAAGATTGAAATCTCTACTGGGATGATATAACGTATTCCCGTTCAGGCTTGTATGACCTACTTTCTCAAAATGACCTCTCTTTCTTATACTTGTCTCTGTAAGATGCATTGTAGGGTCTTCTGTTTGACTGTGGTAGAACAGTAGCATGGGTAACAGTCTTAATATAACAACAGTAAACTACATTGCTACATTTTGCGTCAGTATGCGTAAAAAGCCAACGTCAGTGCGAAGGTTGAGCTTCTTTCTCACCAGATCAGAAATTCTCGGGGCAGTCTTTGCAAGAGGACAACGAAGCACAACAGGTCGACTTCTGTATTTACACTTGATAACCAACAACATCATTACCCAAGTTAGCCATGTTTGCAGTCTGACTGATTTGGTCTCAAATTCAAAGTTCACAACAGTTTACACTTTAATGAATGACTTTGTCTGCAAGGCAAAGAGGTAAAATGTAAATAAGGAAGCAGTCTCTGCCTCTCAAAATATAGGCCAAACTAGCAAAGTCTTTTTTATTTTAACGCTGTCGATTTGTATCTGATTTTTGCAAATAAAAATAGCCTTCAATGTTGAGCATGCTGAGACGTACTTGTAGAGCAGATGCATGCTCCTATTGATTCAGCTACAAATATCCTTATGTCACAGGCCATGCACACTACACCGTCATTAAGGGATGTGCCGTCGTAGGTTAATTACGATGAATCACAGCTTCCAGCCCGTCTGTCAAGAAATGATCAAAATCCAACTCACAAAGAAAAACCATAAAATAAAAATTATACGTGAAATTAATTATATTGGGCTTGTTCCTGGCAAGATCATGAATTTTAGAAAAAAAAAAAAAAATTGCAGGTGAAATAATTAATTATTCTGCACTGGTTCATGACAACTTCTAACCATGAATTTTAGAATAAAATAGCCTCATCTATACAATGTATACAACGTGATCGTACACTTCACACCAACTCTTTAAAACCAGGCACCAGGGCCGGTGCAAAGAATTTTGGGTACATAGGCGAAGATGCATTTTTCCGCCCCCCCCAAAAACATCTTCACCCATGTGCCTCTTAACCTCCCTTTTGTGTTTCTTATCCCGTCTTTTAAATATCTGACTCCCTTTAGTGTATTTTATCTCCTATTTTTGCCTTTGTGTGTCTCCTATCTCTTCTCTTTGTATGACTCTTACATCCTCCCACATTTTGTGTCTTACTCCTCCCAGCCCCTTTGTGTGACTCCTTTTCTCCCAGCCCATTTGTGTCTTTTATTCTTCCCAGCTCCTTTGTTTGTGTCTCTTTCCTTCTCAAGCCCCGCTGTGTGTTTCTTTCACATCCGGCCCCTCTCCCCGTCCCTTAATGGTCCCCTCCCTTCTCTGACCCTTACTGTTCCTTTCCCTTCCCGCCTCCTTTCCCTGTCCCTTAGTGTTCCTCTCCCCTCCCCCATCTGTTGGCTGTCGCTTAGTGTTCCTCTCCCCCCCTCCCTCCTTTTCCTGTACCTTAGGGTATCTCTCCCCTCCTCTCCCTGTCCCTTGGTGCGCCACCCACCCCATAGTGGTCCCCTCCCCTTCCTGGTGTGCCTCCTACCTTTTTTGTAACGTGGCTGAGCGGAGCGAATCCCGGTACAGTGAGCTTTTCCTGTAAGTTCTGCCAGGTACAGGAAACAGAAGTTCCTGTACCACGGTACACTCCGCTTGGCCACGCTACAGTCAGGGGTGTATAAACACTGACAGTCACACACGCTCAATGACAAACACACAGACATCTCTGACAGCCAGACTCACTTATCTGACACACTCATTCATTGACAGACACTCACACGCACACTGACAGACTCATTGACAAACACACACTGACACACACACACACAAACTCACAGACACTGACAGACACGTACTCACATGCACACACGCACATACTGACAGACACACTCACACACACTGACAGACACACATACTCACACACACACAGACAGACACACACACACACACACAGACACACACACACACACACACACACACACACACACACACACACACACACACACACACACACACACACACACACACACACACACACACACACACACACTGACAGACACACATACTCACACACACACTGACAGACATACTCACATGCACACACACACACTGACAGACACACATACTCACACACACACTGACAGACACACATACTCACATGTACACACACACACAGAAATTAATAATCTTAATTAAATTAAAATGTCCCACCCAGCCTCCCTACCTGGAGAGCTGGCGTGGGTCTCTCATTGGTGGTCCAGTGGGGCTGCTGGGAGGCAATTGGATGCCGAGGTGGCGAGGGAGCTCTGATCTCTCTGATCTGCTCCCTCGCAGGCTGCTTACTGATGCCGCGGGAGCCGGAATATGACGTCATCAGCAAACAGCCTGCGAGGGAGCACATCAGAGAGATCAGAGCTCCCTCAGCTGCACGCCGCGCCGGGGATCCAGGAGGTGACCTGGCAGGAGGGAGCACTTCCCTCCTGCCGGTCACTGGAATTTTGCGCCCCCAGAGCCGGTGCGCCCTAAGGCGGCCGCCTGTGCCGCCTTATGGACGCGCCGGCCCTGCCAGGCACTGTCAAAGTCAATGGACTTTAGCACAAATTATAGGGAACGACCCTCCCAGCTTTACAAACCAGAGCGTCCGGCCTTCCTAAGTGCTTCAGGGAAATGTAGTTCCGCCTCATGCATAATTTTGTTATCCCCCAATTAACCCCCTGTTTTTGACACAGCCACACAGCCGTCTCCTGTACCACTAACTCTGTGGGATAGAGAATTTTAAATTGGCTCTAGCAGGCTGCAAACAGGTAAGACAGGTTTAGCCCATGACTACAACTCCCAGAATGCATTGCAAGCAGCGTGTCGCAGGCAAGCCTGCTGCCGCCACTGCTACTTCCCAACGGAAAAAACCCTGCTGCCGCAAAGAGGGAGATAGAGAGGGGTCCCTGTGAGAGTGCACAGATTTAGCGTCACGGGGCATGTGTCGGTTCCTAACACCATCGGAAATATGTGTTTTCCGATGGTCTTTCACAAGAAGGGGTCGCGACCCACAGGTTGAGAACCGCTGATCTAGGACTTTGCCAAATAACCTTTCCCCTTGGAAAGGTAAGGCACAGAGACTGGCTTTGGAGGCGTAGTCTGCTCCCCAGGAATGAAGCCACAGCCCTCTTCTAGCCGCTACTGATAATGCAAGGCTTTTTGATAGAGCTTTTGTGACGTCTAGAGCTGATTCAGACATGAAGTCCGTTGCTAGTTTTATGTCTTTTAGGGATTCAGTCAAGTTCTTTCTACTCATGTCACTGGCTATATCTTCTTCTAGATTTTCTATCCAGGCCTTCCTGCTTCTGGCTACTGATGTTAAGGCTGCAGCTGGATGTAACCCCAGCCCAATTGCCAGATATTGTTTGACCAGATTTGAGTCCATTCTTTTTTCCATAGGTTCTTTCAGGTATGCAATGCAATGGGGAGAATGGTCTTCTTTGCTAACCGGATCACCACTGCATACATTTTTGGAATTGTTTCCCAATGCTTCACTTCTTCTGATGCCAATGGGTACATTCTTTTCACTTTTTTCTTGTTTGGACCATTCAGAATGGATCAATTATTTTATTGTAGAATGGAGCGGAAAAGTAGGTCTAGCAAATCTTAAATCTTCTAAAAAGACATCTGAGGCTGATGTTTCCTGTCTGTCCTCTGGAATTGTTAAGGTGCTACTAACTAATGATATTAGTT